GTATTAAATGCATGATTAAAATGTAATTTTTGAGAGCAAAGTAAGCGACAAGGAAAAAACTGCCAGGATTAATATCCAATGACGATAATTATTCGGAAAGGTGACTTAACATAATAAAAAAAAAAAACCTGTAGAATATGTCATGAAAATTTTTATTGATTTTTAGTATAAACATACTAATCATGGCCAACCTTTTGTATCTCATTTTGAGTATATATCTTTCGTAATTTTAAGTATGCACCGGTAAAGCTGATTTCATCTCCATGATCGAAGGCAGGGCCTATTTAGGGCTAACTGCGACAAACCCTTCTTTATAAAGGTCATGGTTTTGAACTTTTAACGTCCAGAAACTGTGTTGATTAGAAAATTCAGTGAATATACCTAGCTTTCAACTGGCGGTCTCCCTGTTCCGCTTTTGCGCAATGCAACTATTCTGGTTACCTGGCGTTGAACGAACAGCCTTTGTTGGCGCGCTTGAGACCTGCTCTGGCGGGACAGAACGTATTGCAGTAATCAAAGAATTGACGAAACAACTCGTTCTTGCAAAAGCATTCGGCCTGATTTCACATTAACTTTTCGTTAGCACATACCAGTACTTTTTGGGGTCGAGATTGGATCCCGTAACTCCATTATGAGATCGCGCCAAGTGATTCCAATATCCAAGATTTATTTTTCGCGCTTAGATGAAGTATTAAATATTAGGTGAACCTTTAACTTATAATCATCAGGTTTAGGAACAGCATAAACGCCTAACGACTACAAGCGTTGATGTAATTCTCGTCACTGATGACAGAAATATAGCTCCTCTGTAGAATGCATGCTGCGAGTTTTTTTCGGGGCCAAAGTTCCTCATGCTATTTTCGAATATTGCGACTTCGTATATTCATCAGGATTCATATATGTCGAATGTTACTTTAAAAGACATGAATAATATGAAGCGACTGGTATATCGTTGTATTTGAGCCTATGTTTCGCTTCCAAGAATAATCTTAATTTATGCAGCAAATAGATATTTCTGCAACTTACCTATTAGCTGAATGCAAAAGTAATCCTTCGATGAAAAGATTGCAATGAAATTCAAGGAACACACTAGCTTCTTATGAAGTTTTCATGCAAGCTCTTTGGTGATAAAGCCTTGCGCTGAAGAATGCAATTACAATTAGGACAAAAGCTGTAACTAAAGCAACATGTTCTAAAAAGCAAAATAATGATGTATGATGCTGATAAAGATATTTTTTTTTGGATAACTAAAATATCGTTTAAAAATTGGCTTCAAGTTAAGGCAAATTATAAGAAACCGTTTTCCATTGCTTGTAAAGAAATTGCACGAAGACATGAAATCAAACGTGCAAAAACTTCACAGGAAAAACAGCAATACATTGGATTTTGAGTTGTGACTGAGGCGTGGAAAACGAAAAGAAAAGCATAATAGCATTCCCCAATTAGAGCCAGCGAACTTATTCATTATGCTGTAGTTTTAAATGATATAAGAAAAAAGAGGATAAAGACGGGACAGTCAATGGTGATCTGTTATTTCTTTAAATCTGTTTAAATGTTTCAAAGTATTCGACGTGAACTTGCCTTTTGTCTTCATACAGTTTCTAGTTTCCCGCTGAAATAGAATTGAATTCATCATAATACCAGGTGATTATGGACTTCTTTGAATTTTTTGGTAACTTAGCAAAGTGAAGCTTGTTTGCGAATACTAATCGAGCCCCTACTGAAAGGCTTCACACTGTTTTTAAGTGACTATTGACAAATATAAAAAAGAATTATTTCAATTTTTTTAAATTCAGATCCTCATTGTGCACGTGCTTGCCAACAAGTTTATCCGTCTACATGAATTACAGAGAGTTCAGCGCAGCTTCTCGCCTGATATTCCAGGAAAGCAGATTTTGTCACATCACACCTCGGCTCGAGTCATTGCATTAGTTGTGTGCAAAACATCGTGTGGTTTTTTCACATTTTGCAAATTCCTTTTAAGGTTGACATTTCTGTGAGAGTCGCCACTTGATAATATCATCTAAGTTCCAACAAGGGTTTGCACCTTGAACATAGCACGTGCAAGTCGCTCGCTACCCACGTGGATTGTTCTTTTATTTGGCCGCCCCGAAGCTATGAAATACTCTTCCAAGTCCTATCGGAGAATAACATCAGTCAAAAGTTTCAAGAATGCTGTCATAGACTAAACTAGTACACCGGAAAATGAACGAGAGGTAAGCCTTTCTCTTTTAAACGACTTCCTTGCTCTCCGTCTCGATTTGCACCCTTAAAGACTCAAATTGATTGATTGGTTGACCTCGGCATAATGAGTTGACTGAACCTCCATAGAAACCCAAACTACTCAAAAGGCATCTTTTAACTCTTCTCCTATAAATAGAAAGGCTTTTAGAACAATCGATTCATCATTATTATTTAAAACGAGACGCAATTTCATATCCCGTTGTGTCAAAAAACCACATGTATTTAATAATAAATTAAAACAAATTACTACGTTTTCTTGTGCGTTTTCGAGAAAGGTGACAATTTTTACTTTGCGGCTGAAGGAAAAAAGACAGTAAATAAGTACATCTTTTCGAAGGCGTAGTTTGAAGAAAATTTTCTTCTGAAAAGTGCTGTTTGCGGCAACAATTTATTGATTGCAATTTCACTGAATGAAGCCGTGTAGCGTCGTTAATTGTATTTTGAGGATAAAATATTTATTAAATATATTGGTCAGCTTCGTTTGTTTTGACATTTGTGGGTTCCATCGCGCGGACATCGTGCGACAATGCCATTCCTTTAAAAGAAACTTGCCCTTTATGTGATAAACCAGTAATCGCAATCATCCTTAATTTCATTATTATTTTCAAAGTTTACCCAAAATTGCCCGAGTCGCGAAGGAAAACTTTGAAAACACAAGTGAAATTAATCCGAGCTCAGAACTTACTATCTCTCTTATTACTATCTACAAATATTATGCTATCGACATTGCTGATCCTAGGCAGTATGCAGGACGCGTGTCATATGAACTTCGTAACAGACCTCGCTCACCGTGGAGTCTCTGTGGCTCAGTGATTGAGCATCGGTGCGCGGAATCCGAAGGTCTGAGGTTCGATTCCTCACGGGAACTCAGAATTTTTTCTTTGTCCCACGCTCGAGACAAGACGAAAAAAAAAACATCATTCTCTAATGAGAAAGATGTTTGCGTCTTATCACGAGCGAGGGTTCAAGAAAAGATTCTGAGTTCTCGTGAGGTATCGAACCTCAGACCTTCGGATTCCGCGCTTCGATGCTCTACTACTGAGCCACAGAGACTCTACGGTGAGCGAAGTTTATTGTAAAGTTCATATGACGCGCGTTCTGCGTTCTGTTAGGATCAGCAATGTCGATAGCGTCATGTTGTAAAAAGAATAAGAGAAATGGTAAGTTTGAGCTCGGTAAAGAAATAGAGAAAGATGTTTTTCGTCTTGTCAAGAGCGTAGGACAAAGAAAGGATTCTGAGTGCCCATGTGGAATCGAACCTCAGACCTTCGGATTCCGCGCTCCAATGCTCTTGTAGGGTCTCTGTGGCTCAGTGGTAGAGCATCGGAGCGCGGAATGCGAAGGTCTGAGGTTTGATTCCTCAAGGGAACTTAGAATATTTTCTTTATCCCACGCTCGTGAAAAGACGAAAATATCTTTCCTCTCTCTCTCAGGTTAATTAAGGCCTGGGTCACCCTGCCTTTAACCCATATTTTTCACAAAATTGAGAATAACTTAGCTATTTTGCGAGGGATTTTTCTCATACTTGGCAGAAATGTGTATCACTACCATCTCTCTCGGACTGAATTGTGGCAGCGTAATATGATACTCTCAACAGCCAAAAACAGTTAATTTAGGCGCCAAATTCGTCGGTTGCTTTCTTGAGCAAATTCCCACCACTAAACACAAGGCAAATCAAAATGCAGTTATCGCTATGAATATTTGAGACGTTTTTCATTGTTTTCCCACTTGGAATGGCTGCCAAAAAAAAAGAGAGATGTGCTAGGCAGATTAAATTAAGTTTTGTCTCTGCGAAGCTGCTTCCTCTGTCATGGTTTTCGCTCGAAAACATCTTAGCCTTAACCTGGTTCCAACCGCTGTCAATGAAAGTAATCCTACAGGTTCCTATTTATTTGGAAAAAAAAAATTAAAACTGTTTCAGAGGTGGGAATTTTGAAAACTCGCAGTCACGTATTCAACTTAGTGTCCGCCATTTTGACACGCGAGTGTTCAGAAGCAATTAAACTTACCGGTACCTAACAACTGCTTTCGGGGATTACTTTTGTAAGTAAATTCATCTGCTTCTTGGAGAAATTGTTTCCAAAGCATTCAAAAGCCTAAATTTTGATAGACACCATAAGTATACACATCATGATATGATAGAGGATTTATCTAGCCAAATTTAATCTCAAAATTGAATGCTATATCCACAATGAAACTTTTTTCTATGCATTTGTTACAAAACAGTACTTTTTTCTATGCATAAGTTACAAACATTGTAAAACGCTATTGAGCTCTAGAAAAGACGAAGTCTGAGAAACTGTGAAAAAGATATGGAATTCTTGACGTGTGATGGATGTGAAGATGAATACAGCAAGTAACTGTATGAATCTGTAGGTTTGTAGTATTAACACTAGTGCGTAAGCTGTTAATTTCAAAATAACTTTTGATGTCTAGAAAAGCCAAAGAAGTGTCGGAAATTTCCCAGGTATATTTAAGAGCCGGTGAAAGGAATTGACGGCAGTTATAAATTGAATGAGCTCCTCTCTGGTAGAGGAGGTAGCGCCGATGCAGTCGTCAATGTAGTGGCCGTAGAGTTCAGGTTTGGGGCCGTGGTATTGACTAAGAAATTGGTGTTCGAAAAAAGTTATGAAAAGATTTGCGTAGCTGGGACCCATTTTCAAACAAACTAATGGCTACGCCATTACCTTTTTGTAGTATTTACCACAGAATGAAAAGCAATTGAGTGTAAATACTAGTTCGGCTAGACGGAGTAGTCGGTTACAGGGCTAGTTCCTTAACCTTTATTAGGGATGGATAGAACTCATTTCAGGAGTTTCCGTTATTTAAATAAAATTGAATCGTTAAGGCCTGAGGGAATATTTCAGCACAAAAATCAGCGAAAGAAACTTACGACGTTTCGACACCGTCGGATCTCATTGTCAAGTAAGTATTAGCTTAGTTTTGCATCATAAAAGGTTTACAATGAAGCGCATAAATTATTTGGGTAGACATTATTATTGCATGTTTCATCAAAACTTCGTGGTACCCAAGATGCAACTTGATCATTCAAAGGAATTCAAAGTTTAACAAATATATCAAAATGTATCAAATAATAAAAATTTTTCCAAATTGAGAAAAAATAAGTAAATTGATAGCAAGTCGTAGTATTCAGTAGAGTAAAAACGTCTTTGAATCAAACTGAAAGTTGTAAGTGATTGTTATGAGCTTGGGAACTTGAAACGTTTGGATCTCAAGGTCAGAACAGTGTTCTACCACTCAGCTAGCTTAAGAGAATTTAACTTAATGAAGAGGTGTTTCACATAGCGAATAATAAATAAACGTGCATAGATGTGGAATTTGTCTTCGAGTTGCTCCACATTTCATTCACGAGCTATACAACGGCCATTCAGATCGTACATTTCTTTACTGTTTCTCTTCCCAAACGTCTATTTCCCTCAGAAAGAGCCTCTCATTTTGATTCTTGGTAACCAAAATTCGTAAACAATCAATCTTTTTGTTTGTAAAAATAACTTGAGCTCTGCCATCTTTAAATGGGACAACTGTGTCAAACTTTCCACATGACGACGAGTTTGTGCCAGAGACACTGAAGCTTGCCTGCAAAACACCAGACCTCAGAAAATCTTTCATGGCTAGATTTGACCCAGTATCCACAAACACTTTTCTAACAGTGACGGAGGAATTAAACTTTATAGTTACATGGTCATCGCGCTTAATGTTTTTTCCCCAGAAGTGTCCAAGTCCACTTCGGTACGCATCTTGAGGATTCCCTTCTTTCGATGGGATGGACGAAGAAACTTCTGCTGAAGGGTTCATTCCGCTGTATTTTTGATCGTGCTCGTCAAAGTATTTATCCATGTAAATCGAATTTTTTAAACGGCTCTTTTCTTTGAGCGAAGAACGGGCACCAAGATGTTGAAAAAAAGAAGCCGCTGGCAGTATATATTCTGCATTGTCAGGTACCATGACCTTTCGCCAGTGCATCATCAACCAATCACCGGGCATTTCGTCATACATGAGATAAAAATAAGATGCAATGCTCCTGAGATCCTCTGACTGATAAACTTTTGCAGTGTGACCCATCCTAGAAATATCCAACATTGGCCAAGCCTTTTTTTGAGATGAAATGAACTCTTGGATCTTTTGAAATACACTCGGAGATGCTTTGACGTCATCTTCGACATGCAGGTAGTAGCTAGAAAGTTCATAACAATAACACATCAGAAAGGCAAAATCTATGTTCTGTTTTGAACGCCAGTAAATTCTTGTCAGAGAATCACCAAATTTCTGCCTGAGGCTCGTTAGCCGGGGATAATATTTTGGCGATGTTTTAATTACATGCAAAAGATCTTCTCTGATTTCTTTGTCAAAGAGCTTTGACAGTTTCTTTATTGTGTCCTGCTTCTTTTGCTCTTCGAAATCTGCGAGGAATACAACTATAAATGTTTGCTTTCGGTGATCGTCATTCATGTTGTCCAGTAAACTTTGGATCGTTTGGGGAAGATATTCTACACCGTCAGGCCGAGTTACCGTCGTCAACCCAATAGCCATGTGCCCTAAAAAAGAGTGAGTATGCCTGGGTAAGGGTGAAAGCATTGACTCTACAGATCCAACTGATTTATAGTTCTCCCTTCTTACTACTATAAATTTCCTTCAAAATTAGTAAACAGAACATTGCACTTTATCAAGGTCACACAAGCGTTGATTCAGTTGTCTGGAAGCCAATTTTTGCTGTGGGACGAAGTTTTTAGAGAATGAGTTCATAACCTGAATTAAAGGAGCTAAATTTTTCAATTCTCTGAATATAGATATCCAAATTGTTGGCACACTTTCCCTGTTTAAGTCTAAATTGCTGCCATTACTACTAAGTTAACTCCCTTATTGCTTTTTTTTCTCTCTTTTCCCAAGCTGCTTAAGTATAATTTTGTTTTAGCGCCTGCTATTGTTGTTGTTGTTTATAAGTGTGGGTTCCTTCCTTTTTAACATGAAGTAATATTTATTTATTTTGTAAAATATGAGGAACCTGTAGCTCGCACCAGACTCTTGGTTTCTCTACACTTTTCCTCGCCACATCTTAGATTTTCAGTCATTTACTGAAGAAATGTAAAATGGTTTCCGTGTTTACATAGCCTGATGTAAACACGCGGGAGGTTGGGAAAACACGAGATAAGCGTAGGAAACCACGACGCGAAGCGAAGTGGTTTCCAGCTTATCGAGTGTTCTCCCAACCTCCCAAGTGTTTACATCAGGCTATGTAAACACGGAAACCATTTTACATTTCTTTTATAAAATAACTAATGAAAGCAAATCGAAAACTGTGTTTACATACGCTCATGTAAAATGGTTTTATGGCCAATCAGAGCGCGCGTACTATTTGAATTATTTTATAAACTATATTAATGTATATGTAACTCCTTTTATTTCTTCTCGTGTGTTATAATTAAAAAATGGCAAAATAAACAAATAAACAAATAAACCTCGTCCCACCGCCTCACGTGCCAGTCAACTTAAGCCTTATTTTAATCGATTAATGGGTAAATAAGTTATGCTTTAGTGACTTAAAGTAACTAAAATCACTAATCAATGAATAAATAAACAAATAGAGGAACAAAGGAATGAGTGAACGCATGAAAGGTGGGAAGTTGGTTGAAGGGATGGACGTAAGTACGTGCGGACGGACGGACGGACGGACGGACAGATAAACGAGCACCATCCTGGGGATAGACGAACAACCCTATGAAAAAGTAAAATCTTTAAAATAAAATTGAAAATTGCATCCAACTGATCTTGGCATATAACGTACTTTGTTTACAAGGATATCGCCCAAGCATATTCACAGCTGAACTTCTTAGATATTCACTGCTTGGGCAAAGATGATCACCCGTTTTATCCGTGGCCCATAAACTCTGGGTTGAGTTAATCACAGAACAGTTTAGATTTCGGAATTCTCTTGTCTCTGTAATTGAGGAGAAATCAGAGTAACTATTCAAATCGGTTTCTACGCTTTGCTACTGTACATCTCTATTGTAACAATGTAAGCTCAAATGCGGGTGAAAAAAAGAAAAAACTAACCAAGCTCTTAGCGTTTCTATGTGTTGCAATAGAGACGGCTAAAATCAGAGAGTTCTTTTCTAAATGCATAGTGACCACTAATGCAAAAGAAAATTCAAGGGCTTTATGATTTCACATTAACATCTATCAGAATATGAAATCGGAGGGTGTAAATCAATTTTAGAACAAAAAATTCAAACTGCAATTATAGCAATTAAATGTTATAATGAAAAGGAAAACTTTTCGAATAAAAAGAAATATATTTCTCTGCTGCCATGACGGGATAATACCTCTCCGTCAAGAGACTCAACAAATATCTCTCAGAATTTCAAAGAAACAAAAGGAGCATCGTGCAAAAAGCTCCCTTTGCAAATTCGACATGTTAGCGGTCTAGAAATCTAATGAAAAAGGATTTTTAGCCACGCAATCATGCGTCATGCTAGCCAGGAAAAATTGTTGAGAACATATCGAGAAAATCTTGGTTGGACATTATTCATCTTCGAGATGGTTTGTAAGTAAAAAGTGAGGCTAAAAGGATACCAACTTTTTGTAACTGAAGGAACTAGTGTGCTTGGCAGGCTGGGATCATTTTTGTCCTCTTCTGATTTAATGAAGAAAACAGAAAAAAATGGTTAACTTAATTACCGACTTGTATCGCCGATGATTCATCTTTGCTTAGCACGCTCTATTTTTTATTCAGCTCCTCATTGTGCACGTGCTTGCCAACAAGTTTAGAGTTTCTGAAGTCTATTCACATAAATTACTAAGAGTTCAGAGCAGCTGCGCGCCTGATATTCCAGGAAAGCAGACTTTGTCACGTCACACCTCTGCTCAAGTCATCTATCGAAGACGGATTTTAGACCACGTATTCAAGAGTCACACTATGAGCCAGGAAACGTTATTGAAAACATATCTAGAAAGTATATTAAAGTTCACACGGCAACCAGGTGGACAATCAGACATAGTTTGACGCTACTCTGGTTTGCAGATTTAATGAATGTAACCGAAGAAGTTACGATTCATAGACCCAACGTTTCGACACTCCTGTCTAGTGCCTTCATCTTCTAGAAAGTCTTGGTTAGGCGTTATCTATCTTGGAGATGTTTTTTGGGTAAAAAATGAAGTTAAAACGATACCTACTTTGTGTAACTGCAGGAACTAGTGCGGTTGACAGGACGGGATCATTTTTGTTTTCTATATTAACGGAGAAAAAAGAAAAAAAATGATTAACATAGTTACCGACTTTCATTGCTATGATTAATCTTTGCTTAGCAAGCTATAAACTCGTGGGCGAGAAACGAACGATACTTTCTAAAGATTTTGACACAATTCCATAAATCAAGAGAGTTAGAAGTTCCTAATGTTATTCATAGTACCCTTACCACTGTACTGTCTCTCCCCTCCCCTCTTCCCCAACCGCACTCTATTACTGCGAACAGCTGTGATTCCTTTTGGGCATTTTTTCAGAGCGAAAATTAAGAAACAATGAAAGAAGTTCACCTCACTATCATCTCAGTCTGTTAACTTTTTAAATTTTTTATCTGACAATCAATATCCTTTTTCATCAATGTCAAAAGGTTCACGCTTCCATGTTTGAAGGCTGATTTTTGTCGATATTTATACGTTTTGAAGCCATTGAGACTGAAAACTTTCCCACTTAACCTTTTGGAATGTGAGTCATTTCGAATGAAATCCAAAGCAACTGTTTTAAAGAAAGCTTGTAGTTCCCGGAGGAAATATAGTGCTTTTTCCCAAGGGGGAATATTATCCGAAACGTTAACAATATGCAAATTTAAAATTTAGGCTTCTGGGATGCTAAATTATGAATGAAACCTTTCTCATGTAAACTAAACACCAATATAACGAGCTTTTTGAAACCGCTTTGCGAATTTAATTTTTAATAAGCGGTAACGGATAAATCGCAAAATGCATTGCAGTCTTATAGTAAACGACTTCTCTGTAAAACCTCGAAAGCTGAATCTCGTTCCCGTCTTCAAAAATGTTTTACATGTAAGTGTAATTACTTTCGCTTACGTCTATCAAAATACAAAAAAGTTTCCGCGCCGTGCTAAACCAACTTATGCTAATTGTCAATACCTTAACAAGAGTATCTTTGTTTCTGAAGATTAAAAAAAATACACAAAGAGGCAATTAGGTCTGAGGGAGGAAAGAAATGGCGAGTGGTTCCTTGAACAATTATGTATCTCGCAAACTTTCATCTCACCTCGTAATCTCACCAGCGTTCGAGATTAGTCTCGAAGTTTGGCACTTCTTTTAAAGTTGACAAAGTCAGGGATTTGTTATTAAAACTGAAATAGTACTTAAAAAAACCAAGCTATTGAAGCTCGGAGTTATTAATTTGAGCATCGAAAGTCTGTTAACTGCTTTCGTTTGAATATTCCGCAGTGGAAAAGCTGGTTTTCAAACCAGCGTTTCGAAGTCTCGTGCGGAAACGGAAACTGAAAAAAACACTAACTATTTGGCATATTTAACATGTGAAAGTAAAAGTAAGGGAAATTTCTTTTTATTCAACTGCTCTACTGGCACGATTGAATTCTTTTCCAACTAACGAGGTAGTTATAGGATTGTTTGATATTAGCGGTAGATGTGTATAGCTTTTGTTATGTTTTTGTCAGTATGGCAGAATAAAAATCAGCCGCCCTTCCTTGTCAAAATGTCATTTTCCCGCTGAGCTTTCCTAAATCCGAGCTTTCCTATGGTTACTTACCTCTGCTACAAACGCACTTGTGTTTCTCGTCCTTCTGAAGTTGTTCGCTGTAGTGTCCCACATATAGATAGTAATTTCCCATGAAAACACTGCTTGCTATAAATATTATTATCAATTTATCTATAAACTTCGAATTCATTTGTCGCAAAATTCGTCTTCTTGTATGCATATTTACAATGTTATGCTCGTGGTTGTCACATGTGTTATGAACTTTCGGCCGGCCAACTTCGCAGTGATGATAATTCACCTACAAAAATGTATTTTGCTGTAAGTTGTTAGCATTTGTTTTCTTTTGTTTTGCTCGGCCTTTGTTTTAAAGAAGTTCATAACGCAGTTTTCTCTCAAAACCAACGCAGTCGGTTAGCTGTTCTCCCAAGAATGATAGCAGCTGCATTGAGAATATACCACATGACCAGTAATGCTCTAGCATATTATAAGTCAGACCATGAAATACGAGACTAATTGTAATCCTCTCTCGAGAGGGAAAGAGAGAGAGGACCCTGGTAACAAGCTTGAATCACAGCATGACGCACGTAAATGAAAATCTAACATGTCTTTAATTTTTTTAGATAAATTGGAAAAACAAATGAAATATGATTAGCGACTTCAAATAAAGTTTTTGTCTGGTTCAGCAATTGAATGTTGTTTCGCTTTTGCCTTTTCGTTCCGTTTTCTCTGTCGCTGACCAGTCTAACTTGAACACTGCAGTGTACTAAGCCTTCATAGTTTGCGTATTCTTTTGACATTATTTGATAAAATGTCATCACGGCAGAATAGGAAAGGTCATTATTTCACTCTCAATTCCAATACCTGAATATCATTCCACTATAAAATTGCAAGTCTGAACATTTAATTTGTCTAACGCAGTATGCATCATTACCAATGTCCATTAATTTCTACGTACATCCAAAATAAGTAAGATGCAATACTTCTGAGATCCTCGGACTGATATACTTTTGTCAGAATACCTATTAAAAATGTCGATAATTGGTCAAGCTTTTTTCTGAGATGATGGAAGTTTTCTCCTGTAAATTGTAAAGCAGGAGAAGAAGAAATTCGATAAATGCGGAGGCATTGAGATTTTTCGGTTATGCGGTTTTGGTGTTCATTGCAGTTTGCGGATTTTCTGTTTTTTAAGCATTTGGTTTTCGGTTTTCGCGAAAAATGCTAACGGGTTTTCGGATTTGATATCCGATGCGGTTTTCGGTTTTTCCTATTTGACCTATTTGGGTTCCGGTTTCTCTTCGATCTGAGCGGCAATTACGCGCCTCCACTCACAGGCAACCCAAGCTCCAGCTGTGAGATGATCATCTTGTGCAATAACAGTCATGGCGAAATTATAAGAGTTTGTATGGGAATATTTACGACCGCTCTAATGAATTAAAAATAGGTCAAATTCTCAATAAAAAATACCTCACCTTACTTCCACAGCGTATCACTTGTTATCTGACCGCTTACTTCGATGAAAAGATCCCATTTTAGCGAGTTGTCCATTTCGAGGTTTTCAACGTGCATAAGAAAAGCCCGAGGCTGAACACTCCATTTCCGAACGCCCGATCCGAGAAGCGAAAAATCCCAGCGCAAAATGACTGGGCGGCCAAAAATCCAACGCAGAATCCAAGTACATATACTGTGGTTTCATTTCAATTCACTACAAACTCAATCTTCCTCGTGCAACCGACGCTAAAGCCGCAGTTTGCTTCAAAAATTTCCAGTTTGGAGGTGTCTAACAGCCCGCGTACACATCACCCTTGACACACGACAGCGTAAATACTAAAACATGGAACGACCTAAAACCACCTAAAACCACCTACAACCACCTCAAAAACATCTACAGCCACTCGCAAACTATCTAACACCATCTAAAACAAGGCATAAATGTCTAAAATAAGGCGAGACGACAACATGTAACGTACATGAAATACGAGAATCGAACGAAACCTCCACCTCCCACTGAAATCTTACTCTCCCTGGTCCCATGTATAATCAACCATCTCACGAAATGAAATGAGAGAGCAAGCCAATTATATATTTTTATTACCTCAGTAGTAAAAGACTTAAAGAACTTTACAAGCAGACATTTTGGTTCACGTTTCATTTGATTACGTAATGGTCCAAGGTAGTGTTTAGTGTAGTGCCAAGTTACGGTGTTGTCCCCGGCGAGGCGCAGTTTAAAAAGGAGGTGGGGCTACCAAACTGGTTTTCAACGGTCGTGTGTCAAGGTTGATGTGTACGAATGACGAATGACGCCCAAGACTTTGTCCATCCGTAGGGGTTCACGCGTCTTTAACGACGAATATGGTGCAGCAGTAAGACAAAGGACAGTTTGACAAGAAACGACAATGGCCAAGCACGGAACATTGCTAGAGTTTCTTTATCAAACCACTTCGAAGTTGGTGACCAAGTTACAGTCTGTTACAGGCCACACGTGACTGACTGATTAAACATTCCAATAGAATTAAACTTTTAGGTCTTAGTTCGCAAATGGAAATGTTAGATCAGGGATTTTCGATGAAACGTTCCAGAGCTATAGCTTTTTGCGACCGCAAAATTGCAATCTTATGGAGGACTTTAATGCGAATTTCCTTAATTTAACTGGGCTCCATTACCAGCTGCTGAGTCCGCAGAGACCACGCTCGAGGTCCTCGAGAGAGCAGCTGAAATAAAGCCTATAATTTAAGCAGATACTAGAAGATACGAATGCCAAGTCCATGGCATTCACAGATACTGTGATGAAATTAGTGTAGTTATGCTCCACTTGTCACCACTACATCGGATCGATAAGGGTTTTTGACAGGGATGTGAAAATGTATCGGTTTTGACAGTTTTGCGTGCGGTTTTCGATTTTGATAGAATTTTTTCGGTTTTTCGGTTTTGGATAATTTTTTCTACGGTTTTGCGGTTTCTAATAGGCCCCAATGCCCCCCTCATAAATGGAATCATAAATGTTCATGCTCTCACTTCAAGTAGCGATAAATCAGGACAATAAGAGTGAAATTACCCCATTTGAACTCAAGTTTTAAGGCGAGGGAAACACAAGATAAGTTACTGTCCCAGTTACAGAAATATGTTTGTTCAGTCACACAAGCATTGCACGGTAAGCTTGTTGTGTCACCTGGCAGCTGGCTATTTGTTGCTTAGGTCGTGTGAAGAAGGAAGTCTTGTTGTGCTGCACCGTACATTTCAAATGATAGTTAACGATGTGCACCGGGCGGTTTGTGTTGCGGCGAATTTACAAGATGTTTTTAGCATTAATATTCCTGACGACATGTTGCCATTTTGTGATTTACATCCTTCCTTATTCTGAGAGAAACAACGAAAATAAGTGTGTCTGCGAAATGGGTAAGTAATGACATCATCTATAATTTTGGTTCTCATTGGCGACTTAACGACGAAACAAGAAATTTTATCAATCGAAAAGCACTATATATCATTACGATCACTTTTGTTATGTTTCTGGCGGAAACCAAGCTTTCGCCCCTTCGCAGTTATAAAATTGTTGGACCAGTTAAATTTCATTTCAAATATGGCTCCTTACACATAATATGCTCAACATTATTTCGACCACAAATGCTTATTGGAAACAAGTGTGGTTATACTGGGCTATAAGTGTACCTGTGTGTGGTGTGCTCTAAATCGTCTTCTTTGTTCAGGCTGAAAAAAGCATCAGAATAGTTACAAGTACAAAAGCGCGGGGACACTTTGAAACAGCGGCGATGATTACAAACAAACCATCCGGCTTGACATCTGCTACAATAGAGAGCGCACGAATAAAAAATCCTGTTTCCACACTTTGGAACTTCGATTGCAGAACTGATCTAAGCCATTGTGGTTGTTTTGTTCTTTAATTATTTTCATCGATCAAACTGTATCAGCTTTTATTCAAGTTAACCAAGGTAACCGAAATAAAGTACAATCCTATCATTTTACCTTAAAGTACCTTGCAGTTTAACCCCTAAAGTCCCAATAGCCTCAAATAAAATTGTCTCAAAAAATTATCACAACAATTCCTTAATTTAGCGTGGTCAGCGAGAGCTACGCTTTCTCGAGGGTTCAACTTCATTCAGTATCATGAAGAAAACTGTTAATTCCACTACCGGTACCATTAAAATATGTTAATGAACTAAAGTAAACAACATGTGACAGGTACAAAGAAAACATAACCTGAAATAGATGGACTCTGGTCTCCGCTCTTTATCACGAGGAAAAGAAGCGCAATTTAAAGTAGAGATGAACAAAGCGGCCAAGAATGGAAATAATCACGTACTCTCTCATAAAATGCCAGATTCCTAAGGTGAAATTGCACCTTCAAACGGACTCAAAAAAATCATTCGTTTACATGACAATATCTAAGCGTTTTGTCTCCTTACATGCGTCTCTTTCAAACGAACAATGACAGCAACTGCTGAACCCGCTTGGGACTCAGAACAAGAAGCTTCTTTGAACCGCATAAATTTGTTTTCATGCTATTGGTTGTATTTTTCTAAACATTACTGTCTAAAAAAATCCATAAATGTTCTAGAAATTCTCAAATTTTCTGGATATCCCGTTTGATTCTAAAAATCCTTAAAAATTTCCGGATTTTTGTAGCCCTATTTCGCATTAACAATGCCTCGCCGGCATATTTGAAGACTGCTACGTTTTGTAATTCTCATCATTTCCCTTAATTTCCGAGAAACCACTAGGCTGCGCCTCTGGTTTTTACTATCATATCTTTTCTACGATCTTCAAGCCTCAATTGAAAAAAGCGTATTGAAAAAAATTTTGGTCGATTACTTTCTGCATAACAAACTCGCCAAACTTGACAAATTAAGAAACTTGAACACCGATACAGGAAGTTCATTTATATGATTGTACATCCAAAGTAAGTCCGCAGATTTCTTCCAAAATAGGACGGAAGCAATATCGCTCGGAAAAAGACGCTACCCGCCATAATTTTCCCCTTCAGTCCGAGTTTAAAGTCTCGTGCCTCTTTCGTTCGTGTGACTCGCGCGTGACTCAGAATAGTAACCTGGTAACCGTGCGACCAAACCATACAAGCCACCGCGCCTGCTGTTATATAATCCTCAGAAAAGTCTTCAGTTAACCTACTCTTCATTAAGATGGCAGACCTTACGTTCACAAGACTGATCCCAAGGACTGCCTTTTGCTCATGCGCATCGTCTCCATATTTCTTCAAAACATTTGGTTCGATGGACTCGTATCCAGATCCTTCCGTGAAAGGAATAGCACCCACACACGTCACTTTTTCCTTTGACGTTTGGTTACATGAAACTCTTTACTCCCTAGCATCAGTATGCTAGTTCTCCCTACTTTCCTCTCAACATTTTCTAAGCTACTTACGAGGAGAACTTGTTTAACGATCATCGTTAGGAGAAATTATATCCTTATCACTCCTAAGTCTTAAGGGTTAAAGAGTTAAATGGTGAAG